AGTTCCACTTTTATTTTGCATAATTTATTTTTGTTCCCTAATACCAACTTCCAAAAGGATAGGTCCTTTACTGTCTCCTTAACACACCCTGTTCAGTCCCATCTCTGCCTGCTCAGCCTAGTGCCTTCTGTGGTCTTCTTTCTGTTCCTTTCTTCTCCCTGTCTATCCCAACTTAGCTGAGTCTCCTGCCCTCCACAACCTCCCAAAACAAGAATTTTCTCTCCCCTAACAAACCTTATCCTGAACCATCAATAACCCCCAAAACAAACAAAAAATCTAGCTGAAAAGCAAATCTTTTTTATGCACCTCACACAAATCTTCATTTCTCAGATGTCAGTATTTTCACACTGTGGTTAAATGTGTGCATATCAGCAGCTCAAGAGCAGAGGTATTTCCTGTGTCCCTGCCGAGCACCTGGTACAGTGCTGGGACAGTAAACTCAGGTAAAATCCTGCCTGACTCGTTGACTTGACTAGGCAGGTGAAACACCCACCAAATCAGCGTAGTGAACCAGAGACCTGCGTAGGTAAGTAGTTTCATCTTGAATTCATAGCCTGTTTCCCTGACTCACACAAACCTGCTCACACCCAGACTGTCAACCTCCGGGAAACGCCTCTGAACCCCCACCCAGGCCCTGTGTGCCCATTAGTCTTGGGCTGCCTTTCCACTCCAAACTACACAGAGCCTCAGCCTGCCCATCTCCAGTTACCAAGTTGCTAACTCACCGAAGGAAACATGAGTGACAGTGGCCACTGTACATTAACTGAGAAGGAAAAAAACAAAAAACAAAACAAGTTACAGGGTAGCTTTACGGTACAATCCAAATTTTGAGCGTGTGTATGTGTGTGAGAGCGTGCATGTATGAATGTGTGTATACATATGTGTATGTTCTAAAAGATATTGCACTTTGTTAACAGTTGTTATCACTGAGATTATGCATGCTTTTACTTTAATTTTTATCCAGTACCTTGGCCATCTATAGGATATTAATTAAAGGAACAGAGATAAATATTTATGGATCACTTATGGTGTATGTGGCATTTTATGCACACAATTTTACATTTCATTTAATCTTTACAACAGCAGCATAAAATTTATGTTATTTTCTCCATATTACAGACAAGGAAGTTGAAACTCAGGCCTAGAAGCCTGCCCAAGGTCACACAGCTGTCAAGGAGCCAAGGCAGAAGTTGAAGTCACATTTGTCTGACTCAAAACATCATGATTTTCCATTTCACATGCTCCCCCAGCTAGTGAGGCTTTCCAGAAACTCCCAAGCTTGAACCATCTCACTGGAAGTGGAGAAAACATTTTCTTGCTGATTAGAAGTCAGTCAATCTGGATTCTAGTCCTAAATATGACACTTAATGGTTGTGTAACCTTGCATAATTTGCTTCCCTTTGCTTCCCTTTCTGCCTTCCACAAACAAATTATGTATATTCTTGGAATTTTAAAATATACAAAATAATTTCTTCTAGGTCAAGAGAGAAATTATGTCTATAGTAATGACTACTTACAAAACCATGACAGTGAGTGCCTATATATCTGACTACCTGGGATATAGGCAAAGCACTTTTTGTGGGGAAATTTATAGCTTGAAATGTTTTTATTACCAAAAGATACAATTAATGGATCAACAAATAAATTTAAAATTCAAGGGAAGGGGTAGCAAATAAAAATAAAGAGAAAAACAGATAAAAGCTTCAATAAAGAATTAAATGAGGAAACATAAAAGCAGTATAATTGAGACATACGCCCAAGAGCAGTTTTCTTGAAAAGACTGAAAAATCAATATATTTCCAGCAAATATTAATCACGAAAAAGGGAAAACACACAAAAGTGGAATCAAATGCAGTTGCAAACAGCAGGAGGAAGCCATAGAGTCCAGGATTCTCCTGCTCTTCAGGGGCTGCAATTTTGTCACTTCCTAGAAGAAAACAAGTTTAGTAGGGCAGAATTTCAGAGGCTGATTTTACAATGCCTTCTAGAAAAGGACTAAGGATTTTCCTTTAGAAAGAAACTAAATTGGATATATTCAACACACTTAGGGACTATTTCCAATTCTACTCTGTCCCTCACCCTAACCTCTCCTCTGAACTCTAGTTCCAGATTTCAGCAGCCTCTGGGCAGCTCCACCAGCTCCTCCAAAATGCAGCCACTCAGATCTCATATTTTCCCATTCTATTCTCCTCCTCCTCCCACTCCTGTTCCCCTTTTCTCTTCCTCGTCTACTCTTTCTCTGGCTCTACAAATGACACCATCCACATGCTCACCCCAGGTTAACCCAAGGCATTGTTGTTTAACAACTCCTTCTCTTTTGTCCTTGTCCCTTTTGTACCCAAGCAGTTGCTAAGTCCCATCAATTCTGTATCCACAGTGTACCTGTACATAAAGTGCCACATACACCTGTTTACAGGCCTCCACCACCTAATCACTGCAGTAGCTCTAATCTGGTCTCTCTGTCACAGGTCTCTTCCGCTTCAAATTCATCTACATACAACCCACCACCACATTGCTCAGAAACTCTCAGTGATCTGACAAAGGTCTCATATCCAGAGTCTACAAGGAACTCCAACAAATTTACAAGAAGAAAACCACCCCATTAAAAAGTGAGCAAAGGATATGAACAGACACTTCTCAAAAGAAGACATTCATGTAGCCAACAAACATATGAAAACAACTCAACATCACTGACATTAGAGAAATGCAAATCAAAACCACAGTGAGCTCAGGCACAGTGGCTCCTGCCTATAATCCCAACACTTTGGGAGGCTGAGGCAGGTGGATCACCAGAGGTCAGGAACTCGAGACCAGCCTGCCCAACATGGTGAAACCCCATCTCTACTCAAAAAAAAAAGAAAAAAATTAGCCAGGCGTGGTGGCAGATACCTGTAACCCCAGGTACTCGGGAGGCTGAGGCAGGAGAATTGCTTGAACCTGGGAGGTGGAGGCTGTGGTAAGCCATGATCGTGCCACTGCACTCCATCCTGGGCGACAGAACAAGACTCCATCTCAAAAAAAAAAAACACACAAGAGGCACCATCTCACACACACCAGTCAGAATGGCTATTATTAAAATGTCAAGACACCACAGATGCTGGTGAGGTTTCCAAGAAAAAGGAACGCTTTTACACTGTTGGTGGGAATGTAAATTAGTTCAATTATTGTGGAAAACAGTGTGGCGATTCCTCAAAGATCTAGAAGCAGAAATAACATTTGACCCAGCAATCCCATTACTAGGTATGTACCCAAAGGAATATAAATCATTCTTTTATAAAGGCACATGCATGTGTATGTTCACTGTAGCACTACTCACAATAGCAAAGACAGGAAATCAATCCAAATGCCCATCAATGATAGACTGGACAAAGAAAATATGGTACATATACACCATGGAATACTATCCAGCCATTAAAAGGAATGAGATTATGCCCTTTGCAGGGACAAGGGTGGAGCTGGAAGCTATTATCCTCAACAAACTAACGCAGGAACAGAAAACCAAACGTCACATATTCTCACTTGTAAGTGGGAGCCGAACGATGAAAACACATGGACACATGGGAGAAACAACACACACTGGGGCCTGTCGGGGCGAGGGGCGTGGGGAGGGAGAGCATCAGGAAGAATAGCTAATGGATGCCGGGCTTAATACCTAGGTGATGGGTTAATCTGTGCAGTAAATCACCGTGGCGTATATTTACCTATGTAACAATCCTGCACATCCTGCACATCCTGCCTATGTACCCTGGAACTTAAAGCTGATGAAAAAATTAATAAGAACAGAAAAGAAACTCTCAGTGGCTGTCTATTGCCAACAATGCCAAGTCAAAACAATTTGGCCAGGGATTAAAGGCTTTCAATTGTTCAACCCAATTTGTTCAACCTCAGCTTTCATGCATTTCCTTCAGATATGCCATAATTTTCCCAAACAGCACAAAAACTTGTCATAAACCCATGACAAGAGTTCTGAGAAAAGGGGTTACTAAGAAATTGTGCACCAACCTGAGTTGTCCTTCAAACAAAAAAGTAAAAAACATGTTTGAACATGCATGAATTTAGGAAATGCAGCCCTTAAATGCCCACCTAAAACAAACAAAACCTACTAGATGACAAAATTCAAGCTACAAGTAGATGAATTATTGACATAATAAAATAGAACAAAAGCAAACAAAACATCACATCGGGCAAATGAAACCCTGTGTATGGAGCAAAGGAAACACATTCTTTGCTATCCTCAGCAGAAGAAAGGATATGGAGCTGGGTTTTGCATCCCCCCTCCCCATTTTTTTGTTTGTTTGTTTGTTTTTGAGATGGAATCTGGCTCTGTAGCCCAGGCTGGAGTGCAGTGGCGCAATCTAAGCTCACTGCAACCTCTGCCTCCCAGGTTCAAGCAATTCTCCTGCCTCAGCCTCCTGAGTAGCTGGGACTACAGACGTGTGCCACCACAGCTGGCTAATTTTTTTGTATTTTTAGTAGACGGCGTTTCACCATATTGGCCAGGCTAGTCTCAGACTCCTGACCTCGAATGATCCACCTGCCTCGGCCTCCCAAAGTGCTGGGATTACAGGGGTGAGCCACCACGCCCAGCCTGAATCCCACTTCTGAGTCAAACTAGACCTAAAGTTGAATCCTCCTCTGTCACATACTAGTTATGTGACCATAAGAACCTACCCCAATATCTCTGAGCCTCGATTTCCTACCTACCTACCTGTCCAGCTACCAACCTATTATCATCTCTCTACATATCAACCTATCACTTATGTCTCTATCATCCTTATCTGTCTACCATCTCTATTACCTATGTATAATCTATCTATTGATATATAGCATCTATCCATCCACATTATGTATCTCTTTATAAATTGTTGAAAGTATTGAATTTTCCCATTGTTGGGGAAACAGCTCCTCTTCCTGCATACCAACCTTGCTACAGAAAACACAGGGCTTTGATTTTCCTCTCCCTCAGGGAGTGTCAGAATGAGAACTTATTTTCTCTCCACTCTGACTGCTGCCCCCAAGGGAGGGCAGTTGCTTCTTTATTGATGAGATCCTGGTAGCAAACGGCCACATTTTGATGAAGTATGGATCTCTGTACAGAAAAGGCACCTCAAGCCTTGTTCTTCTCTCTTGTTCTCTGGGAATCTCTGGCCTGCTTGAGCCTAGGTATAGTGGGTACTTGAGCTTCCAGGCAGTTCTGATCAATGCCCCACCCCCATCCCGAAAGACCCGCCATTGCTTCTGGATAGGTAAGTGAGGAGAGGAGAGAAGCTTGAGTAGGCCAACTGAAGTAACAGATGCCCAAATTTCAGCGGCTTTGTGTAGTAGAAGTTCATTTCCAACTCACTTAACAGTTCTGGAAAGATGTTCACGTCAGCGAAGCATCTCTCCTTCTCAGGATTACCAGGCTACTTCCATCTGGTGGCTCCACCATCCCCTAGGGCACCGCTGGAGTCCACATTCAGCGGGCTGAAGGAGAAAGCAAGATGGATTCACTCCAAAGGCTTCAAGGGCCAGGCCCGAAAATAGCGCACACAACTCCTGCTCACACTGTTAGAGACAACACAGCCACACAGAGGAGCAGGCTGCCTTCTCAGGAGGCAGATGCTAACACGAAGTTTGAGGGCGCATAAAGTATATTGGGAATCAATACTTCTGAATGGAAAGGGAGAAGAAATGGAATTGGGCAGAAGGAGAAGTCAAGCCATGACACAGTCCTGACAAACCAACGGCCAACCCTGTGGGGACCTCTACAGTGGATGTTACCCATCAGCGGTGTCTTTTATTGGGCCAAAATAGCCGTGCCTCATGTGGTCCCCAGAGGTAGGAGGTTCCTGGAAGGGTGTGACATTGGGCAAAGTGGATGAGGCTCTGTAGCTGAGGCCGACCCTGATGGAGGTGATGGCAGGAGACTGTCTATTGACTGCACTTGCTGGAGCAAGGCCCATCTGGAGGCACACCTGCACGTCTACCATACGCAGCCACACATCATCGCGAAGGAGTCGGAAATATTGGTCCAGCTGTGCATCTAAGAGGAGGGGAAAGAGATTTGAGTGACAGCTAGCAGTCAGGCAGGATCTTGGGTCATATTCTCCAAACTGATTTGACAAAAGAGCCCTGTTCTTGGGAGTTGAATGTCCTAGAAGACAGTTTGCCCTTCAGTTAGCCTTTTGTTGACTCCATCTATTAGAACCCTGCACGCAGCAGGGGTGATGGATGCCAGGTACCTACCCCTAGCAACACTGCCTGTGAAGTGCCTAGACAGAAGGTGCCTGATAAACGTGGCTTCTGTCTCCAGATTTTGTTGCTGAATTGGGCTTCTTTGAGAGTATGAACAGCCCCAACCAGAGCCCACCTAATCAGTGCTCAGGGATTTATTAAGTAAAAGTTACACAACTGCCCTTGTTTATTATGCATTGACCTCTGAGGTGCTGAGAGCCTATGATCACTTTCCTGGTCCAAGAGAGAAACCTGGAGATCTAGGAATAAATCCCCCACTTTGTACCAAGTAACCTACTTTTCTTTCTCAACTGTCACCTCTGAGGTTCCAGTGGTCAAAGGAAAAGTTGGGAAGCTCTCTGTGCACATCACAGCTAAGGATGCAGCTGCCAAGCTCTCCCTGCTCTGACCCTTCAAAGGAAGGCATTGGGAAATTCAAACCAAACACAAATCGTGGCCACCCAGGGAGACTGACCAAGATTGGGGTACCAGTCTCTTCCTGAGACTGGGCCATGAACATCTTTGGGGGCCAGTATTTTGCCTACCACAGAAAGTTTTTTATTATCTGAATCATTGAATTGAAGACGAAATGGACATAATAATAAGGAATGGTCAGAATAGCATACTGAGTTTTTCCCATGTATTCACTGATTTTCTACAACAGTACAACTCTCATTCCTGTGATTTTTAAAATCTAAATGCTATTTAAAGTATTTGAAAGCAATTTCAGATGTTCTGCTCCTCCCAATACAGAAATAATATTTCAAATGAAAGAAAAGCTTTAATATGCATCATGGTTTCTTTCCTTTTCTAGATGTCCCAATGCATTAAGACATCTTATTAAAAGGAATAAAATAGATCGCATGAACAGACATGGACAAAATCCAAAATACACAGTTAAGTATAAAAATCAACCTGAAAATCAGCATGTGTAGTGTGATCTCATCTTCATAAAATAATATATTTTTATGTTTGTTTTTACAGAGAAAATACCCACAAGAATATAAGTCAAACTGTTAACCACATTATCCCGGGGGCTGAGGAAGCAGGGGGAAGGCAGCAGTAGGCTTCCTGAGCCATCATGCCTGCAATGTAATATATAGAATAAGCTCATATTTTTTTTATAACCAGGAAAATATTAGGACAGTGCTTCTCTGTGTTTAAAGACTAAGGTGATCTTCCAAAATCCCCTTTTTGTTGATGGAGAAGAGCATCCACCAGAATTTCAGAATTCTGCCCAACCAATACCAGCCTTAGGGCCTCGCCTCTGAGTGCTTCCTATTAGCTCCTTTCCAGTTCCTCCTTAGAAATGTGCAGCTATGCCACCTGCCATTTCAATCACAGGGAATGTAGGGCAGGTAATTAGTAACCAGACTTTGTTTTGGAAAACACTCAGTACATGTGGGTAAAATAGGTCAGTTCCCATTCCTCGGGGCAGAACCCCCGAGCTTTCAAGAGGGAGGGACCCTGGAGGTCACTGAACACAAGCCCCATTGTCATACCCTGAGGCCCAGAACTAGGTGACCAGCCAGCAAGCAGCAGAGCTTGGATTCAAGGCAGATGCGTGGGACTCCCAAAGTCACATTCTTCCCACTTGGCTATTCCGTGGTCAACTACTGAATAAGATCCTTCCTGGGATTCCAATCTAGGCTCCTCAGAGTTTGCTGGGCCTAGATGTGCAGTAATGGCCCACTCATGCCTCTCTTTACCTTGGGCTGGGATACCGGGGATCGTGGGGAGCGATGGGAAGCATTTAGCAGTTAGCTCAGAGACGCATGTGTAACAAACGGATCAAAAGTTTGAGGGGCTGAGCTGTTCCCATTGCAAAGCCACATCATCTTTGTTAATGCTGCAGTCTTGACAATTTCTTTGGGAGCCTTGGTTCCCTAAAGTTTTACAACCAGGCCATTCTCTCGACAGAACTGAATATGATATGATTCATGGACCTCAGAATGGTTCTGGTCAATGAGAACACGGGTGCAGACAAACCACCGAAGTTGTTTACCTCACCCATCTAGCACCAGGTGAGCTGGAAGAGTCACACAAAAAACCTGAGATCTACCCAGAGTCTCAGGATAGGGCATTTGCCCGGGGCTCACAAAGGCCTGGAGTCTGTGCAGAAAGGCAGTCCAGCTGGTAACCAGCCTGGAGGCACCGCCTGGCACTTTCTCATTGTACCCTTTGCCGGTGTTGGTGCAGCCACCGTACTGTCCCCCAACCACAACAGGGCATCCAGCACAGGATGATGGGGAGATAGATGTCACTGAACACAAGCCCCGTTGTCATACCCTGAGGCCCAGAACTAGGTCACCAGCCAGCAAGCAGCAGAGCTTGGATTCGAGGCAGATGTGTGGGCAGAACAGTATTGCTTCTGCGTGACACCCCCAGGGACCAGAAAAAAAAAAACAGGCTTTCACTATCTGTGAACAAAGTCTGTCCCCAGGAAGTCACCAAGCTTTTTCTCCAACGAACTCGAATCCCAGTGACACCATATGGATCCAGCCACTGCACTGCTTCATTCTCTTGAAAGCTGGAAGCACGTGCTTTCTTCTACAGGGGTGAAATGAATAAGAACTAGAGCACCTATTCAGATTCAGCCTCCTTTCATAGCCAGAGCATCTCCTCCAGAGCTGTCTAGAGTTTTGCTCTCCTCAGTTCCACCTTTCAATGACACAACGATGGGGGAAACAATCAGATCATCTCTGTACCAAAGGGCTGGTCCTTCCATCCCACCCAAGAGCACAGAGAAGGCCTTGGAAAAGGAGGCCCCCCACTACCCTACTGGCTAAAAAGCCAGTGTTTCATAAATGGGGAGACAGTCCCCACCCAGGTCTTCCACCTAAAATCCTATTTGCGATGGCAGCGTTGGAGTGTTGGGAGGATACAAGACCAGGTCTGGGACTTCAGGAGGTGTTATTTTCCAATGGAATGATTTTGTTCCTTCTGAGCTTCTATATGCAAATACAAGGGGGCTATGGAGATGTCATTTCTGTGCCACTGAAAGTTGATGTTTAAGGCTTTCTCTTTCTTGCCTCTCTTACTGTGGCCAGTATCACAGGCTGGCTTCGAGGAAGGATGGAACCCATAGAACCAGAGACCTACTAGGCTGTCAGAACTCAGGGACCACCCAGTAGGGAACATTCACACCACCAGAAACTTTGTAAGCAAAATTGCAAAGGAGATGGATGATCTTAGGGCAAATAAAGCCCATAAAGATCTGGTCACCTTTTCAGGAAAGTAACTGCTTTTGCTGCACCAGATTTTCCATTTAGCTATCCAGGATATGCGAGAAAACACAAAAAGGCAAGTGGCTCCCTGGATCCCCAGCCATCTTGCCAGCCTTCCCCTCCTCTCCAGCCCTGGAGTGGGATGAAGCATCACAGCTTTCCCTTCCCTTCCCTTCCCAAGGCTTGAAGATGACCTGGTCTAGGGGAGTGGACTACGAAGGGGAACTAAACTAATCCAGGGCCCTGAGTAGGTGCAGAGAAGGGTGTGTAGAAGGCAAGCGGGAGCCTGGGGAACACTGCTTGGCTGACTCACCTGAGGCATCCCAGTGCACTTGCAGACAGGCCCCATGCTGATGGAGCTGCCCTCAAATGAGGCCTCTAGACAAAGAGCTTTTCATTCCTTTCTGTAGTGTGAGTTTTCTTTTTTCTTTTCTTTTTTCTTTTTTGAGATGGAGTTTTGCTCTTGTTGCCCAGGCTGGAGTGCAATGGTATGATCTTGGCTCACTGCAACCTCCGCCTCCCGGGTTCAAGCGATTCTCCTGTCTCAGCCTCCCAAGTAGCTGGGATTAAAGGCACGGGCCACCACGCCTGGCTGATTTTTGTATTTTTAGTAGACGGGGTTTCACCATGTTGGCCAGGCTGGTCTCAAATTCCTGACCTCAGGTGATCTGCCCACCTCAGCCTCCCAAAGTGCTGAGATTACAGGCGTAAGCCACTGTACCTGGCTGAACTTTCTAATACATCACTGTGAGCCTACAGTAGAGAACTGAGTGAAATTTCCCGTGACTTTTGTGTGCACGTGCACTATCCACAGAGGGAGAAGAGAGAGGAAGATTGCTCAGCCCTCACGTCAGTTGTATGGATGGCACACGCAGGAAGAAAGTCTTTCCAGGATCAGCTAAGCACAGAAAGCAGGTGCTTAGAGGAGCTGCTTCACTGAAATGAGGGTGAGAGTTTCAGGGTTCCTACCACCCAGCTTCTCACTTCTCTCATGGCCTCTTTGCAGAACTTCAGAGCTTCTAGAGCCCTAATAAGTAGAAGAAGTCCTCCATCTAATCCAGCTCCTCAGTGTGAGGCTGCATGAAGAGCCTAACGGGAGGAGAGCATGACCTGCCCCATCACACACCTGGCGAGGGCCTCACTAGGCTCCACCTTGTTTCCCCAGGAAGCTTGACCTTTACAAAGCTGCTCTTCCTCTTTTCAAGATCTCTTGGAGCCATGTCAACTTGCAACAGCTTGGCCTGCAGTTGTATCATTACTGGCCCCAGACAGTTTGCCAGACGGCTTTGTAGCCCTGGCTCCCCAGTGTGGGGTGGCCAGCGCTGCATCACGTGATTAGGATGGCCTCCGCCTTTTCTTTCTCCATGATCTACCTTCTGCCTCTGCTCAGTATGCCTGAAGCCTCCAGCCAAGCCTCTGCACAGCACTGAGGAAAAACCATGTGGACAGAGGAGTGACAGTGGGGTGAAGCCACGGTCTTCCTGGTGTCTCTGAAAGGGCAGTCCAAAGAGAAAAAAGTATGAGAGTGATGGGTCTCTAGGAAGCCCCTCACACTATGACTTGGTTGGAATCAACTGTTCGAGCCTCTTCCATGTCTTTTCCCTGCACCCCCATCCCTACTACTTTTCCATATTTCTTCCAAAGTACTTGTCCAGGCAGTTAATCCCCAAAGCACTAGAATTCCTACTACCCTCCCTCCAACAGAGATCTTTGTCCCAATTCACTACCCTCTGCCAATAAGATCTCAGGATCCTTCTTGATAGTCTCAACCCCCAAAATTCTTCCCAAGAACTCTACAACCAGGTTCTCTATAGTCCAGCTCCGAACCCCACGCAACTTAGCATGTCTTCTCTGCTCCCTTGGCATGGGGACAAAGAAAACACAAAGATGAAATAACCCTAGCCTTACTCTTTCAGAGTTCTCCACCTAGTAGGGAGATAGGATTTATATGCACTGGTTCACATACAGTTCATGACTGCGTGCCCTGTAGGAGAAATTAAAAGAGCCACAGAGCCCAAGAAGGGAGCAATTATTTCTAAGTGAAGGCTCAGGAAGGATCAGGAGGGCAGAGGGATGAAGAGCAAAAACTCCTGGGCTAGGCCAAGCAGATTTAAAATGTTCACTTCCTGTGTGTGACTTTGTACTTGTTAATATCTCTGGACCCAGTTTCACCTCTAAAGCAAGGATAACAATACCCACCTGAAACTCACAGGGCCTGAAGACCTAGAGATTGTGTGTTTGGTGCTTGCCTCCTTGTGGATGCTCAGTAGGCATTATTTCCGTGGCGGAGGCAACAGTGTAAACTCTCAGAGGCCAAGGACTACAGCAGGATCTAGGACATGGGCTGTGGAGTCAGAAGATGTAGATTCAAATCTTAGCAAAGTATTTGCCCTTTCTGACCTTCCCTTTCTTCACTTATACAATGGGAATGATAATAGGACCCAACTCAGAGAGCCATTAGGAGGGCTAAATGGAACAAGTTTGTGAGACACTAGCATAGGCCCTGATGTTTATTAAGCACTTAATAAACATTAGCAACTGTCACTGCATGGGAGCTCACACAGCCTGGGCTGACTGGCAGGTGTCACTCACTGGCCAAATCCCAAATGTTCTACGTGGGGTCACAAGATAAGGGTCTCATAGGGACCACAGACAAGACAGCCACAACCACCTGCTCCCTTTCATCGGGAGAACATTCTGCCCAATGTTGCAAAGGCTTTGTGGAAATTTCTGTTTACTGAACTGATTTCAACACCCATCTCCATCCCATGAATTCCAGGCTGTTTGTCTAAAACTTTCTTCCCAATAGACTGTTTACAAGTTCAAGTGATCAATGGTACCATCAGTAGTACACCCACTCCTCAATTCAATCATGCTAAAGACAAGTTAGACTATGACCTTGCCTTAGAGCTGTTAGAGTGACACAATAATAAATCATCTCTGTCCAGTTTACACGGCATCTTTGCCATACACTGTCACACTGGATCCTCACAACAACCTCATGTGACTGATGGGCAAGAGTAAATGGACCTTCAGTGACCACTCTAGGTCTTCTAAATTGGTGTTGCTTAGGGTCAGTGATCTGGAAGGGGAATTGTCTTGATGCGTGGTGTGCATGACAAGCACTCTGCTGTGGGTTGATTTGGGGTTGTTTTAGGGAACTGATAGCTGCCTTGGAGACCACCAGACCTTTCATGTCATCTAACTCAACTTTCTCACTTTACAAATGTTAGAAAATGAGGCCCAAAGAAGGGAAGCAACTTGCCCAAGGTCATTAGATGATCAGTGAGGAGCTGGGAACAGGACTCTGGTCTCTAATTTCCACTTCTGAGATTTTCCCACTAAATCACTACATCACCCAGAACATTTTTGTTTGGTAAGTTTTTAATAAAGTAACCAGCACCCATATCAAGAAACAGAACATCACCCTAGAAGCACTACTATACTTCCTTGCAGATGCTAGACCCCGAAGATAACTATCCATCCTTATGAAATTGAGGTATTTTTCTGTGTTAAGATCTTTATATAAATGGAATCATGTAGTATTAATATTTGTACCTTTTTTTCTCAACACCATGTCTGTGAGATTCTTCCAGTGATCTTGCCTATAATTGTAACTCATAGCTTTTTCATTGTTATATAGTATTTTACTGTCTGAATATAGCACAACATATTTATCCATTCACAGTAAATGGACATTCATATAATTTCCAGTCTGGTGCTATTACAAAAGTGCTGCTCTGCACATTCTTGTAGGTATCTTTTGGAATTTCTGAGTCATAGGGTGTGCAGATGCTCAGCTTTAGGAGGTAATACCACACTATTTTCAAAAGTTAAACCAATCCATTATCTGTGTGTAAAAGTCCTGCCCCAGCACTATTTTAAGGTGAGGAAAACTGAGGCCCAGTGAGGGCGAGAGACTTGCTCTGGGTCAACACCAAGGAAGGGACAAAGTTGGACAGGTATCCTGGGCCGGATTTGTGTTCTTTCTCCTGCACTGTTACTCCAGCCCCATGTATCAGCTCGAGCCCCAAAGCTCAGCTCCAGGTGTGCCCTGCAGACCCTCCTCTCACCCTGCCATATTGTTTATGTGTGTGGCAGTCTCCCTGGTTGCCTGTTTCCCTGGAAAACCAAGGCCCCTTGATGGGGATGAACCCAGCTGTGACAGAGCATACCGAGGCTGCATCTCCTGCTCAGAGGAGACAGGGAAAGTGCCCTGGGACCTGAGGAGTAGGGGTGGGAGGATGTGAAGCAGATGGAATTAAGCACCTTCCACTCTACAGTTTCCTTTCATTAGGTGTCTTGTCTTCACAAAATGGTCCCACTTACTTGGTGAGACTTCGCGCAGGTAGGCTACTCGAAGAAGAGTGGCGTTTATGAATCTTTCCTCAGTCTAGGCTTGTGGTGCTATAGAAGGTGCAGGCCGGGTTTCTCATACCTGGGTCAGTGGGGCATATGAAGCGAGTGGGAGTGGACAAAGAATACAGAGGAGGAAACTGCAGCTTTCTGTTCATTGTGAAGGCCTGAGGAAGAATGAAAGGGCAGTTGATTTCCTGCAAAAAGAAGCCAGAACAGCTTAATAATGCTAATAAGAGCTGTCATTTACTGGGCATCTTTTACAACGGACATTATTCTAAAGAGACATTCAAATCACACCTTATAGATGAAGAAATCAAGGCCCAGAAAGCCTCAGTTCATCAGAGATCATGCCAGGAGTAGAAATAAATATTTTGTTGACCACCCAGTCAGTGTCCAAATTAAATAAAACTGAAAGAGTTCTTTACTGCCAGACTACTTAGAGTCTTTATGACAATAACATGCATTAATTTCTAAGGGGAAAATATCATTTATAAAACTTTTTCCAAACTTTTTACCCTTTTTCCCCAAGGTGCATGTATCAGTCTGTTTTCACGCTGCTGATAAAGATATACCTGAGACTGGGCAACTTACAAAAGAAAGAGGTTTAACGGAGTTACAGTTTCAAGTGGCTGGGGAGGCCTCACAATCATGGTGGAAGGCAAGCAGGAGCAAGTCATCTTACATGGACAGTGGCAGTCAAAGACAGAGCTTGTGTAGGGAAACTCCCATTTTTAAATCCATCAGATCCTGGTCTCACAGATCTTGTGAGATCTTGTGAGACTCATTCACTAGCACAAGAACAGCACAGGAAAGACCTGCCCCCATAATTCAATCACCTCCCACTGGGTTCCTCGCACAACACGTGGGAACTGTGGAGTTACCTTTCAAGAGTAGATTTGGGTGGGGACACAGCCAAACCATATCAGTACATTTATTAAAGTCTTAGTAAATAACACAGGTGGGAAATGTTGGTTTCACCTTGCCTACATATTTGCATTAAAAACATCATTTTCTAAGCCAAAATCAATCATGATTAAGAAGAAAAAGACAAGGACTCTTTCTTGAAAAGAAAAACATAACCCTCCCCACACCCCACAGAGATTCAGAATGAGCCTGGCATTACCTTGACTGCAGGTGATTTAGGTGATTTGAATGTCTCATCCCCCAGTGTCCGACCCGTGGAAGTTGGTTACCCACCTATCAGCAGGTGAAGCTTGAGAGAGTGGGCCAGATTGTATTTTCCAAAGATGGCTACAAAAAATCACCCAACCCACATTCTCTTCTACAATGTGACCTTGCCATGACCTCACTGGGAGGCAGCATCAATTTCCCTTCCCTTTGAATGTCAGTGGCCCTGGAACTGATTTGACTAACAGAGTATAGCAGGAAATGACCGGTGTGACATCTGGGGCTGAGTCATAAAAAGTGACACAGCTTCTATCTTGCTACTGGAACAGTTCCAACCATGTAAGAAGTCCAGCTACCCTGAGGCTGCCATGCTATGAGGAAGCCCAAGCCACTCAGAGAGGTCACACGTAGATACTCTCGTCAGCAGTCCTGGTCTTCAAGTCATAGCAGCCTAGAAGCCTCAGGATGATTCCAGCCCCACCTGTCGAGTCACTCAAGCCTCTGAGTCTTCCCAGCTGAAGTCCTGGATGTCATGCAGCAGAGGCATGCCACACCCTTTGTGCCCTAAATTCCTGACCCATAGAATCTATGACCATAATAAAAAAAGGCTGTCGTTTTAAGCCACTAAGTTTTGGGGTGGTTTGTTAAGCAGCACCATTAACTGGAACAGGGTGTGTGTGTCATATGGGCATGAGTGAGTGTATTTAAATGAAGGGTTTAGGTTGACATTAGTGTTCTTTTTATATCAATGGGTGATTCTTTCTCATGTTTTTTTGATTAGTATATAACCTTTTGATCAGGAACTCATTAATTCAAGAATATATATTAAGATCCAGCTATTTTCACCCAAAGGGACAAAATCCCAATGTGACACCACCTCCATGGAGCTTATATTCTATGTGGACACTTAGTCAAATGCTAGTATCACACAACTGAAAATAATCAACAGGAAGGGGCAGCCGGGGGAGGAAAAAGGCGGAGAAACCCCTGGCAACAAGGAGACAAACGAAGTTCTGGGTGCTTGAAGCCATGGAGACAGTAACTCAAATGGTTTGAAGCCGGAAATGATTTCCTAACCAGCTGTAAATTTGAAAATCCCATATGTGGTACAACATTAAGCTGCTATTTTGGAAATTCTTTCATCTTTTTCAGAGGCATCTCCGGAGCACTTCCTTCCTCTTGGAAGGCAGTCAGCTCTCTGCGGAAATCACTTCATCAGCAGGAGCTGAGGCATTTTGCATGCAACTATATAATTCTGGAACTGTGGCTTAAAAAATATTTTCCCCTGGGTAGAGAAAGAAACATCTCAGATTAGTGTTTCTGTAAGCACCAGCTGGGCAGCTTTGAATGCACTTTTTTTTTCTTTTTCCCCTTTGAAATGGCAGGATCCTGGCACCTGCATTTCAACGTAATGCAGCATTTATTTATTTATGAGATGACGTTTCACTCTGTCACCCAGGCTGGAGTGCAGTGGTATGGCTCACCACAACCTCCACCCCCCAAGTTCAAGCCATTCTCCTGCGTTAGCCTCCCAAGTAGCTGAGATTACAGGTGCCCACAACCACATCCAGCTAATTTTTGTATTTTTAATAGAGATGGAGTTTCACCATGTTGGCCAGGCTGGTCTCGAACTCCCGACCTCAGGTGATCCACCCTCCTCGGCCTCCCAAAGTACTGGGATTATAGGGGTGAGCCACCACGCCCAGCCTAATGCAGCATTATTGATTTCATTAAAAAAGTGATGACTCCATTTTTCAGTTACTGGGATTTTCTCATTATCATCAGTGTCCATGGCACCAGTGGGCAGTCACAGCATTCTTTTAGATGTTCAATTCCATTTATAATTACTTACTGAGTATTTGTGCCAGATGCTGTATCAGGAGTTGGAGATAGAGTCATAAACAAGACAGTAACAGTCTTATTGAACAGTCTCTCCCTCACAGAGCTGACACACTAGCAGAGGAAGCAGACATTAGACAAAAACTGCAAGTGTTGTAAGTGCTGCACCCGGAGAGGAAAGTACAGGGAACGCAGAGAGGTGAGGGATGTTATCCTGAAGCAGACACTCGAAGGGGGAGTGGGAGGTAGCCAGAGGAAAGGAAGGAGGAAAGGGCTGGTGGGAGACAGCACAACCACCAGCCCCTGGTCTGGTCTGGCCATTAGAGACAACCGGGGCCACTGGAGCGAAAGGAAAATCAGCATGGATGGCAAGAGCAAGAGAGAGCCCAGATGAGATGAGGATGCGGAGCAGGCAGGGCTGGACTCAGGCAGAGACTTCCTTGGGAGCACATTGAGGGTTTGGGCTCTTATCTGAAAGACACTCGGGTACCACTGATTTTTTTTATTTTTATTTTTATTTTTTTTTTATTTTTTATTTTTTTTTTTTATTTATTTTTATTTTTTATGTGACAGAGTCTCACTCTATCACCCAGGCTGGAGTGCAGTGGCACGATCTCAGCTCACTGCAACCTCCACTTCCCAGGTTCAAACAGTTCTCCTGCCTGAGCCTCCCAAGTACCTGGATTACAGGCACCCGCCACCATGCCCAGCTAACTTTCGTATTTTTAGTAGAGATGGGGTTTCACCATGTTAGCCAGGCTGGTCTCAAACTCCTAACCTCAAGTGATCCTCCCTCCTCAACCTCCCAAAGTGCTGGGATTACAGGCGTGAGCCACCACGCCCAGCCCCACTGATGCATTTTTAGCAGGGAAGTGGTGTGATGACATGATTGTCTTGGAAAGAACACTCTGGCTGGACAGTATGGGCTGAAGAAAGCCAAGCATGGCATCCGGGAGGCAGGTATAAGGCCACTGCAATGGGCCAGGTGGACAATTGTGCTGGCCTGGAATAGGACACTGGCAGAGCAATAGAGGATATAGAAATGGGAGTTTGGAGAAGTGAGGAGCTCTGACTTTAACAAAACACTCTGATGAGACATTTCACAGCAGTAAGAAGTCGTAGAGCACGGTGCTGAGGCAGAGTAGTCAGACTTAAGGATCTAGGTTCTTTGCCTAATGATGTAAGACGCTGAAGTTTCCATGGGCAATCCCAGAGGAAGGCAATGAGGAGCACGGGAATGGGGAGACATTGCTGCAAGGGGAAGATGGGGGACCCGACAAGATGACAAGAGGTCAGGGTTCCTAGGTGTAGCAAAGAGCAGTGAAAAGTCTCAAGTGACAGGGTGTTAGAGGGACATTTAAGAAGCAGGATGTGGCTGGGTGATGGTGGCTCATGCCTTAATTCCAGCACTTTGGGATGCCGAATGGGAGAACTGCTTGAGGCCAGGTGTTTGACACTAGCCTGGGCAAGCTAGCGAGACCCCAACTCACAACATAGTGAGATTCCAGCTCCACACAAAATTTCTTTAAAAATTAGCTGGGCATGGTGACATGAACCTGTAGTCCCAGCTACTCTGGAGGCTGAGGCAGGAGGATTGCTTGAGGCCAGGAAATCAAGGCTGCAATGAGTTATGATTGTGCCATTGCATTCCAGCCTGGGTGACAGAGCAAGACACTGTCCCAAATAATAATAATAAAGAACCACAATGTGTTTGTGTGCTGCATGTTGCTATAGTTCAGTGAGTTCTCTGCCCATACCACCCCTGCTTCCAATTTCCCCTAAATGAGAGAGCCCTGTACAAGTAGTGTTTTGAGAAATGAAGGGATATAGGAAAGGAAGGAAGGGAGGGAGGGAGGGAGGGAGGGAGGGAGGGAGGGAGGAAGGAAGGAAGGAAGGAAGGAAGGAAGGAAGGAAGGAAGGAAGGAAGGAAAGAAGGAAGGGAGAAGGAAGGAAGGAAGGAAGGAAAGAAGGAAGGGAGAAGGAAGGAAAGAAGGAAGGAAAGGAGGGAGGGAGGGAGGGAGGGAAAGAACTCAAAATGTGATTCCTTCGTACCAACCAAATTATTTTTCAGTTAAAAAGCTAACAGTCAAGTGGTTTTGAACATGTAAAAAAAGGAAATATTGTTCTCATGAGCCCCCTTGAGGAACATACTGGAGGACTAACTCATGTGAATCACACAGTGAGCACAAAAATTGTATAAAAGGACTGGCAGTGAATTAGTAGATTTCATTTAACCACAGGTCTATGAAGAAAACACATGTGGGGATTAAGCTGACAGAAAAGAAGGCAAACACTATATGTTCCAACAATGTAGAAAAGATATAACTAACCAAAGGAGAGAAAAGGGAAAGCAACGTGGTAGGTAATAGAGAAATACACAGATGCCCTTTTCTTTACAATACAATGAGTCAAAGGATGTCATTAAAAGCTGACAAGCCAAGGAAGAGAGACAGGTAAAGCACATTTCACAGCACAAAGATTAAAAACTAAGAATAATAATATTTTTGACTAAAATTAGGTGATAAAAGAGAATGAGAAGTTTATAAAGGAAAAGGAATACATTGAAATACATTGATTTTATTATTGCTCACATTTGGAAATTAATAGGGACTCTATAATGGAGGATTAAGAATTAAGAATAGAAAACTATAAGTGGAAGATTAAGAATGTTAAACTAAGTTATAAAAGTAAACCGGGATGGGCACAGTGGCTCATGCCTGTAATCCCAGCACTTTGGGAGACCAAGGAAGGGCAGATCAGGAGTTCAATGTCAGCCTGGCCAACATAGCAAAAACCCATCTCTACTAAAAAAATACAAAAATTAGCTGGGCCCGGTGGTGCATGCCTGTAATCCCAGCTATTTGGGAGACTGAGGCAGGAGAATCACTTGAACTGAGGAGGCAGAAGTTGCAGTGAGTTGAGATCACGCCACTGCCCTCCAGCCTGGGTGACAGAGTGAGACTCCATCTCAAAAAAAGGAAAAAAAATCATAAATGTGGAAAATACACATAAACATTTTATTAATGAAAGAAGAAAGTCACCATTGTGTAACGTCTAATTAAATGATCTAGAGAACAATCTTCAGTGGCTGAATGTTTTTTATGAACTTTAAACAAAGAGATCAGGTTGGCAATATCTGAACCCACTAATCAAGTGCCAAAAATAAAACAACCAGATATTATGTGCCTGCTGATATAACTCAGCACTACCTTTGAAGTATTTTCACACAAAAAATTAATCAAAAATATGAATCTAAGGGATCAATTTGCAGGGTATGCAGAAGATAGAGGATAAATTACACAACACTGTGGGAAAGCAATCAGCCAAATTCAGAAGGGAGAAATGTTATAGGACAAATGATTCATGGAAAAAGATCAGAGAAAAGGAGATAATCATCGATTGAAAGTGAATAGGGAAAAAATACAAAATAGATACAACGTGTGGACTTGATTTTGATTCTGATTTGAAAACTAATGGGATCTAATTAAACTAAGGAGCTTCTGCACAGCAAAAGAAACTACCATCAGAGTGAACAGGCAACCTACAGAATGGGAGAAAATTTTTGCAATCTACTCATCTGACAAAGGGTTAATATCCAGAACCTACAAAGAACTCAAACAAATTTACAAGAAAAAAACAAACAACCCCATAGAAAAGTGGGCAAAGGATATGAACAGACATTTCTCAAAAGAAGATATTTATGCAGCCAACAGACACATGAAAAAATGCTCATCATCACTGGCCATCAGAGAAATGCAAATCAAAACCACAATGAGATACTATCTCACACCAGTTAGAATGGCAATCATTAAAAAGTCAGGAAACAACAGGTGCTGGAGAGGATGTGGAGAAATAGGAACACTTTTACACTGTTGGTGGGATTGTAAACTAGTTCAACCATTATGGAAAATAGTATGGCTATTCCTCAAGGATCTAGAACTAGAAATACCATATGACCCAGCCATCACATTACTGGGTATATACCCAAAGGATTATAAATCATGCTGCTATAAAGACACATGCACACTTATGTTTATTGCGGCACTATTCACAATAGCAAAGACTTGGAATCAACCCAAATGTCCATCAGTGACAGACTGGATTAAGACAATATGGCACATATACACCATGGAATACTATGCAGCCATAAAAAAGATGAGTTTGTGTCCTTTGTAGGGACATGGATGCAGCTGGAAACCATAATTCTCAGCAAACTATCACAAGAACAGAAAACCAAACACCGCATGTTCTCACTCATAGGTGGGAATTGATCAATGAGATCACTTGGACTCGGGAAGGGGAACATCACACACTGGGGCCTATTACGGGGAGGGGGAGGGATTGCATTGGGAGTTATACCTGATGTAAATGACGAGTTGATGGGTGTTGACGAGTTGATGGGTGCAGCACACCAACATGGCACATGTATACATATGTAACAAACCTGCATGTTGTGTACATGTACCCTAGAACTTAAAGTATAATAATAAAAAAAAAAAAGTAACTGAGCTTTCAAGCTATGATGTCTCCATGAGAATAAGCCTCTTGAAAAAGATCACCTTCATCCCTCTCAGGTAGAGAAGAAGGAACCCAAGAAGCGCCCAGGGTAAAGCCCCAATCCCTACAGCATAGATGTGAAATGCCCAGGATGCGACACAGTCGCCTCGGCCTTCAGCCACGCACACACTGTGGTTCTGGGTGTCGAGTGCTCTGCAGCTCTTAGCCAGTTTGCAGAAGGAAAACCAAGGCTCACAGAAGGATGCTCCTCTGACAGCAGCACTGAAGGCACCTGCATCAACGAGAGTGGGAAACAATCCCAATAAACAAGTTTTGGATACAAAAAATGGAGACAGACAGGGAAATTTGAATAAGGACTTGATATTAGTGGTATTTAGGAATTATTAATTATATATAATAATAATGGCATTCTTTATTGGTGGGTTTTGCTTTTTTTCTTTTCTATTACAGGCATATATTGAAATATTTGCAATATACATGCATATATTGCATATATTATGAGTGAAAGAAGATGCTGTCTGGGATTTGACTTTAAATGTCCGGGAAAAACCTACCCACCCATTCTCTCACACACACATACAAAGGCCCTACACCCAGATGGTTTCCCAAGAGTATTCTACCAACCCTTTAATTTAATGTAATGGGTAATCATAATGCTATTGAATGTGTTCCAGAGTATTTGGAATGCATTCACTCACTTAATCCTCATACCAACCCTCTGAGGCAGGGATCATCCTCACTTCCCTGAGGGTAACAGGCTCAGGGAAGAATCTAGCCTACAGCTACACAGTTGGAGGTGGTGGAGACGAATTGTAAACCAGGAAACGCAATCTCAGAGCAAGTGCCCCTCACTTAGGGCAGCTCTGTATAATCCTTGTGAACAGCACCCTGGTGTTGTGCAGAACACACAGAATAACCTTCAAGAATGTACACGTGGGCCTACCTTAAAAACTATGCAATTCAATCTTTCATAAATAAATGGATTAATATACAATAAATGAATTTTCTTCATTTAGCCTTACGAGTTTCACCCTCAGCAAACGGACTCCCTAAATCTTGCCTTGTTTTCAAAAGGCTGAATGCAGAGGTAGCCATGCCAAGACCACACTGACTGAGTCCCAGCAACCTCATTGCTAACTCTGCTTTACTGGTTGGGAACAAATCAGTTGTCAAAATTGCTTGATAGGAAATGAAGTGACTCTGGCCTAGTTCCTTTTGGCTACTCTGGCTTTCTCCAACCAAGAGGGACAGCGGTCGGCCTCCCTGTCAGAAACTCTGGCCTGAGATAAAGGAAAAAGCCACCAACACAGAAAGATGCAAAAGAAGCCAGAAGCCCACCTGCCCCAAATCATTCATCTCCTTGGACTGCTTCTGTGTGTGAAACTCTTGCCATTGGCTTCTCTTCCCTGGATTAAAGACCAGTTAAAATATGGATCTGTAAACTCAAGGTAAGAGCACAAAGGTAACTCTTGGTAACACTTTTCACATGAACACAGATTCCTTTATCAATGAGCTAAAAGAAAGTAGGACCAAGAGGAATTTGGGTCCAGATGAGAATGTTGAGGGGAGAAAGGAATCATAAAAAGGCTCAAATGTGGAGCTATTTGTTGAGAAAAATCTGTCTTTGTCTGGTGCCATTTTGAAGGAAGGGATGGCTTGGGAAGACGGAGCCAGGTGGCATGTGGGCATTGGGTGACCAGCAGAGGAGGATCTGGGAGACTAGGAGCTATAACAGAAAAGACTTAGAGAGGTTGTGATTCTTTGGGGAGTTCCTCTCCAATTCATATGATACCTCGTGAGCCCAGGCTGTCAGTCACAGTGTCTAACCCTGCCTCTTGATGAAAGACCACATGGCTGGGCACGGTGGCTCACGCCTGTAATCTCAGCACTTTGGGAGGCCGAGGCGGGCGGATCACGAGGTCAGGAGATCGAGACCAACCTGGCTAACATGGTAAAACCCCATCTCTGCTAAAAATGTAAAAAATTAGCCGGGCGTGGCGGTGGGCACCTGTAGTCCCAGCTACTTGGGAGGCTGAGGCAGGAGAATGACGTGAACCCAGAAGGCGGAGCTTGCAGTGAGCCAAGATCGTGCCACTGCACTCCAGCCTGGGTGACAGAGCAAGACTCTGTCTCAAAAAAAAAAAAAAGAAATACCACATGTTCCAGGCTAACCAATTAGACTCTTCGCTGAGATTGATACATGGATGGTAAGAGACAGAGGTCTGCCATCAACACCTTTTTAAAATAAATTTAAATTTAAAATAATTCAACCATGAAGTCCAGGCACAGTGGCTCGTGCCTGTAATCCCAGCACTTTGGGAGGCTGAGGCAGACGGATCACTAGAGGTCAGGAGTTTGAGACCAGCCTGGCCAACATGGTGAAACCCTGCCTCTACTAAAAAGAAAAAAAAAAAAATACAAAAATTAGGTGGGCATGGTGGTGGTGCCTGTAATCCCAGCTATTCGGGAGGCTGAGGCAGGAGAATTACTTGAACCGAGGAGGCAGAAGTTGCAGTGAGTTGAGATCACGCCACTGCACTCCAGTCTGGGAGACAGAGTGAGATTCCATCTCAAAAAATAAATAAATAAATATTCAACTATGAAAAAGTAGCAATAATCATAGAATGATTTTAGTATGCCCTTCACCTAGATTAACATTTGGCTATATTTGCTTTATCAATCACTTTCTCTGTCTCACCTTCTCTGTTCATTTTACCTTATTACATTATGTAGTACAGGATTTTTGTTGTCATGATTGAGCTATTTGAGAGCACATTGTAGACATCATGATCCTTTATCCTTAAATACTTTGCATTTACGTCTTAGGAACAAGAATACTCTTTTACATAATCACAATACAATGACCAAATTCAGGAAATTTGACATCGAAACAATTTTCTTATCTAATATACAGTACATTTTAAAGTTCTACTAATGGTCTTAATAATGTCTGCTATAATGAATTTTTCCCCATCTATCTCATCCAGGATCCACGATGGCATATTGCACTCAGTTTTCCTATCTCTTTAGTCTTATTTAATTTGAAGAGCACTTTAGCCTTTCTTTTACGACATTGACATTTTTTTAAAAAGAAAGGCCAGTTGTTCTGTAAAATGTTTCTTGGTGTAGGTTTGTTGGTTCTTCCTCATGGTTAGATTCCATTTACACACTTTTGGCAGGAGTACCAGCAGCTTTCTTTACAGTCATGGAGGCAGAGCCAGTCAAAGGAATGAAGCCATAGAGAGGCAAGACAAGCAGAGAGGCAGAGGAAGAAAACCAACCTGGATGAGCCCCTTGATCCAGTAACTTGCTAGTTACATAAGGCAATAAATTCCTCTTTTCTGCTTCAATTAATCTGAGTTGGTTTTGTGGCTACTCTGCCTCACTCACACCTTAGCCAATATGTGGGACCACATAGTGTCCTTCAAAAAGCCCCAAATTAGTAGGACCAACTCAGGTCTGACCAGAAGGACATATCCAAGGCAGCCCACATGAAATTGGCCATCTTCCCTAGTAATGAGTCAGAAGCCACACAGCAGTAACTGCTTTCCCTTGATTCTCGCCTTACAACCATGCCTCCACAGAAAGCCCATAACCTGCCGTGGCTTGTCCAAGCCCCAGTGACACAAAGAGGAATCTGGTTTATCAACATTTCCAGGAATACAGACTTTTTCTTCTCTCTGCCTTTGTCCCTTCACTAGGGCCTCCCCCTCCTCTCTTTTGTGTATTAACTATGGTCACCAGATATCCTATCTCCATTTACCATTTACCTCAAGCTTGTCCAGTCCACAGCCTACAGGCTGCATGCGGCCCGGGATGGCTTTGAATGTAAACTTTCTGAAAACATTATGAGATCTTTTTGGCAATATATTTTTTTAGTTCATCAGCTATCATTAGTTAGTGCATTTTATGTGTGGCCCAAGACAATTCTTCTTTTCCAATGTGACTCAGGGCAACCGAAAGACTGGACACCCCTGAACCTGCTGTCTCTTTACTATCTCATCATAATTAGTACAGTTGTGTAGAAGCTTTAGCCTCTGGAAGATGAGAGATTGAGTGGGTGCAGCCAGCTCTCCTCTGGGGGCATTTGGCCAGTCCATTCTCTTGGCTCCCCAGCTTGGATCCTTTTCTTGCCTGGGTGTCATATGTGACCACCAGATCTGACCATTTCATCTAATGTTTCCACTTTTGTCAGTTATAATTTGCTATGTTTGCCCTTTCCGTATCTACACATGGAGAGCACATTAGGTTGCTAGAACTGACAAAATAAAATGCCACAAACTGGGTGTCTTAAACAACAGAAGTTGATTTTCTTACAGTTCTGGAGGTGAGAAGTCTAAGATGAAGGTGTTGGCAGGTTTGGTTTTTAATGAGTCTCTTGCCTTGGCTTGTAGATGGCCTCCTTCTTGCTGTGCCCTCACAGGGTCTTTGCTCTGAGAATGCACATGTGTGGGTCCCAATTTTCTTTCCTTATAAGGGCATTAGTCAGATTGGAGTAGAGCCCTACCCCAACAGCCTCATTTTAACTTAATTACCACTTTAAAGGCCCAATCTCCAAATACAGTCACATTCAGAGATACTGGAAGTTACGGCTTCAACTTACCAATTTTGGGGGAAAGGGCCACAAGGCAGCCCATAACAGAGAGGAACACATCATGTGAGGAGTGCACCTGACCTGCATTCAACTTAACCCCACTCAAAATTACTCAAGCAATAAATACATTTAATTATCTCACATAACAACAACAAAAAAGTGTGGCAATATTTTGTCCCTGGAATGGTGCATTGACTTAAAGATATTATCAAAGACCTCATTTCTTTTCACCTTCCCATATGCTGCCTTTGATATATTGAGGTTTTGTCCTTGCACTTGTCATAAGATGGTGGCCAGGATTCCAGATATTATCACAACACTTTCCCCTTAGAATTTATTGGCTACGGTTGAGTCATGCGGCCACTCATAGCTGCAAGGGAGGCTGAGTAAGCAAGTGTCAGACATAAAATTGATTGTATGCACGCCGGGTGCTGGGATTACACCTGTAATCCCAGGACTTTGGGAGGCCAAGGTGGGTGAATCACTTGAGGCCAGGAGCTCAAGACCAGCCTGGCCTACATGGCGAAACCCCATCTCTACAAAAAATACAAAAATGAGACAGGCATGGTGGCGCACACCTGTAATCCCAGCTACTTAGGAGGCTGAAGCACAAGAATCGGTTGAACCCAGGAGGTGGAAGTTGCAGTGAGCCAAGATCATGCCACTGAACTCCAGGC